TTTAATCACCATGGCTTTCATTTTGGTGATTTGTAGCAGCATTCACGATCTCCGAACGGGCTTCTTGGATTTCTTGGAAAGGGAACTTGGAGGCTGAGCCTTTTTTTGCTCGCTTGCTTTCGCCTCTTCGGAGTTAGCTGGGCATTTGTTGGCATTGTAGGATTTGTTTTGAACATGTATATGACTAAGAATATGAGAAGGAGGAGGATATGTTCTCTTGGCCTAACGTGTGTGTCTGTTGAACAGAAAAGACCGATGCCTTGTCGTCGATCAGCGGTGTGGGATATAAGCCGGTAGCCGGAAGCATAACGCAGACTCAAAAGAAAGGGGGAGAAATACAGACGATGGTACTCTGGTGGCGTTTATTCTACGATTCTCCTCTTCAACCCTCTTCCTTTCCTCTTGTCCCTTTCCTATACCCACCCACCTAGACTATGCTCACCTCTCATCTATAACGTCCATCCCCTCGTCCCCTTTCCCCCTCCCACCTTACGCCGGACGCCCCCAACCATGGTCCTACAGAGCCACGACGCCCAGGAGCCGACCGGGTTTCCCGATGTCAAAGCCCTTGCCGCCGTTGCCGTCTCCTCCTGCGCCGTCGTCGAGGACACGAAGGCGGGTACCTATACGGATGAGAACGCCGTCCTAGCAAGGTACGGACTCGAGAGGCGCGCCGACGGCTTCGTCAACTGGCAGCGTGACTGTGCTACGCACCCGCGGAACTGGACTACCAGACGGAAGGCGTTTGATACCACAGTCATCATTCTGTTTGAGCTGTACACGTGAGAGAGAGCCTTTTTTCTTCTTTTTTGTATATGTTTTCCGTAGCTGACAGGTTGAAAAGTACAATTATAAGTACAACTGGAGTACGTGATCACACCACCTTACCTTGTCTTATATTGCCTACTCCCCATCTCTCTCGAACCGTACCGAGATAATCCGTATCGCGGCAGGAACCGAGCAGCGTGGGGGTGTTCGTTGCTACACCAAAGTTCCCTATAGCTACCTTACACAACAATGTCAACCTACCCATCAAATACAGAACCAAAGACAGAATGATATGCTAACAAGGCTCTGCCCCTACACAGGCCGTCGCCGCAACCGAGGCGGCTCCAGACTATGGTCTCAGTCGTCAGGTATCCCTGGTGGGCTTCACCCTAATGTAAGCTTCTCTCTCTCCCCCTCCTTCCCAGTTCTCCTAGAAAAGAAGTCCTGACGGACAACAATAATAGGTACCAGCTGGGCCAAGCAATAGGCGGCTTCCTCATCCCCCCCTTTTCCGAGCTCTTTGGCCGCCGCCTCCCCTACCTCATCTCCTGCGCCGCTTTCTGCCTCGCGAGCCTCCTCACTGGCCTAGTCCGCGATCCCGCAGCCGTCTACGCAGGGCGGTTCGCAGCGGGGCTCGCCTCGGCCGTGCCGTCCGTCGTCATCGCCGGCAGCGTGGAGGACATGTTCAACACGAAGCAACGGGTCTGGATCATTGTCCTCTGGAACGCGGGGACAACGGTCGGCTTGTGCTTCGGCCCCGTCTACGCCGCGTATATTTCGCAAGCGGTCGGGTGGCGGTGGATCTTCCACAGCGCGGCCGTCGTGACGGCGGTGCTGTTCCTGGCCATGTTTGGGATCAGGGAGAGCCGGCCTAGTATCCTGCTGGGGGCCATCATCAAAAAGATCCAGATGGAGAGGACCACGATGCGAGAACTGTCGTGGCATAACCCGGACGAGGCGCGCGACTGGCGAGCCCTGGTCCGGATCAGCGTTCTTCGACCGGGCAAGATCTTGCTCACGGAGCCGTTGGTCGTTATGGTGGCGCTCATATCGGCGTCGTCGTGGGGCATGATTTACCTTTTTACCGAGTCGCTCACCGTGGTCTACGTCTCGCTCGGGTTCACCAAGACGCAGGCGTCGTTACCGTTCCTGGCCATCGCCGTCGGCGTCGTCTTCACGTTCCTCCCTCGTCTATGGGATATGAAGGTCGTCCGAGACCGCCAACGAAAGCAGATTCCCATCCAGCCGTGAGTTTACTCATGTATCCTTACCATACGTTCATCGAGATCTCTCAATGCTAACCTCCCTTGACCAGAGAGGACAAAATCATCGGCTTCGCGTTCGCCGCCCCGGCACTCGCCATCGGGCTGGCGTGGTTCGCGTGGACGGTCCCACCCCTGGTGCCGGGCGTCCACTGGGCGGTGCCCACGGCGTCGCTCGTTCTCGTGGGCTTCGCGGTCAACGAGACGGCGCACACTTTGAGCGGCTACCTCGCGGACTCGTACCTGCTCTACTCGGCGTCGGCGTTCTCGGGTCTCGCGCTCGTGCGGGCCGTCGCGTCGGGGCTGATGCCGCTGGTGGCGCACGAGATGTACGCCGGGCTGAACGCGAACTACGCGGGCACGATACTGGCAGGGCTGGCGGCCGCGTTCTGCGTGACGCCGTGGGTGTTTTTCCGGTTCAGCAAGAGGTTGAGGCAGAGGAGCCCGTTTGCGCGGTTTAGTCTGGAGACGCACTACCTGACCAACGTAGAAGATAATTAGTAGATCAGTGGTGACTTCCAAAAGCCATGCAGAGAAGTGAAGCGTCGTTTTGATGTCTGGCAAAATTACAGTTTGGGCTTAGTCAATCGGCGTTGACGTGACCATCGAGGAGGGAAGATCGTCGTCGGCCGAGTTTCGACAGGGTTGGGTGCGGTGGATGGCGTACCTTATTCGGTGGGAACCAGTGGAGAAGGCGTTCGTGGGTGCTGCGACGAACATGTGTTTGCGGTGTTTTGATTGATTCCAGAAAATGAGGTTGATCATAGAGCCCACGAACTATACGATTCCTGACAGGAGATCATTAGTGCCAATAACCAGTCGCCTGACGTTCAAGTGACGCCTAGATATCTTCTGGGTGTCCGGAATAAGGTACCTATGCTCAGCTAACCATTGTCAACTCAAAGTGAGACAGAATGCTCGGGCCAGCGTAGCATGCATTCTGCATAACCCGGTAAAGCCACAGGAGTCTCGATCTTGTCCGAGACATGCCACAGAGATGAGAGACTACGGTAGACTTATTTCCTCCCCTGGTCAATCCTCTGACGTGGGCTCTTTGTTCCAGACGGGAGCTCCATGCCAGTTGGCATTCCTGAGATGCATTTCCTGCGGATGTTCAAATGTTGTTGTGTTCCCTTTTCCCTTTCAAGTTTTCGTATTCTCCCTTGGGACCCTTGGGAGAGATTCTGGTCTGGGCTCTTGAGTTGCGCAAAGACCAACTGACGGGTTGAGAGAGTGTGAGAGTGAGACCGTGAGACGGGGCTGGCGCATAAAAATAGCAAATTTGAGGAATATTAGCGAAGAGGCGGCGTTACTATGTGCGTGTTTGACGAGGTAGCGAAAGAGGCCGTTGTCAGACCACTTTGTGAGATTACTAAGGCAGGTAGGTACCTTGGGTCCGTACTTTGTATCTTTGGGCTCTGCCGCCCTCCACATTTGGTGACATTTGGTGGACGTCATAAGGCAATCAATCAATCAATCAATCACGCATCCTTGGCCCTGGAGTTGCTTCTCTCTTTAATCTCGTGGTTTGGAGACGAATGAAGTCGGGACTGAGAGGAATCACTGTGCTGCCTCCGTAGATAGTCGGACATAAGCCAGCAACTCCTTGACTGCAAGAGCATGTGAAATTGGGGAAAGAAAAGAAGTCCAAGTTCGATTGTTGGTGGAATTCCGACTGCGACTGGGAAGAAGGATGAATATCCGGATGGTACCTTCCCGCTCCGCTGACACCGCCGACCAGATTCGGTAATACATTGCAGAATGCCACGCTGATCCCCGCTGCTAACCGGCGACGATACGGAAAGGGAAGGCTTCGAAAGGGACGCCAGACATGTCTTTCAGCCCAGTGTTGTATATCTGTCCGGCATGACGCTGCATCAAATACAGTGGCCAGGGCAGGCAAAGGAGATACCTTACCCGCAGCCGACCTAACAAATTGGGAATGCCGTGACAATCCCGTGTCAAGGAAATGGGGACAGGCCACTGAAGGAGAGTCAGAAAATGCAAAGGGAAAAAAATCAAAAGGCCCAGGCAATTTGGGCTGAGTTGGAACGAGGCAAGCAATGTCCATCGGGTTACAGGCTTACAGCCCCTGCGCCTGCCCAATGATAGCACCCGAAAAGGCCCCAGCGCGGGTGCCCAAATTTTTGGCTTCCGCTTTGCCAATCCCACACCAGTGGACCAGTGTACCTGTGGATCCACACTTCCCCCTCGCACCTCCCCCTCCAAAGTGCGGTGCTTTTGGTCACTTTCGGTCATTTTGGTGTGGTTTTGGGTGGGTAGGAAGTGGGAAGTGGGAAGGTGGGAGGGAAAAAAAGTGTCCGCTGCCCACAGCCATGTGAATGAAAAGTCACTCAGGTCGCTGGCTGACATGGCCTGGCCCTCTGGTTGGTCCGCTCACCTTGGGTCCGCCACTGTCTTACTGCAGTACTTGTCATTTGTACCTGCCACTTGTACCTACCTTACGCCGAAACCCCCTGTACCCAGCCTGTGGGTGGCCTGTCCCGAGCGAAGGAGGAACGGCTTGGGCGGGCTGAATTTTCTTGAATTTGTTAAACCTTGGAGCCGGCCTGTTTCCATTTGATCCTTTCTCCTTTCCCTTTCTTCAACAACACCATTTTGGTGAATGCAACCACTCCTCCCTCTGAAAATGCCTTGTTGACTGACCGACTACTCAAGAAACCCGATCAAACACCAATGCCTAGTAAAAACGACACTTACGACATCACTTCTTGCTCATTCTTCCGCCGCCAGATGCGCCGAAACCCGAGCCACCAAAACCTCGAGAGAAACTACGAATCTGACCCGCGCGACGACCCCGAGCGACGACGAGGCACGATCTCCGTGCTTCACTCTTATCCATAACCCTCCTACCAAAGTGACGGCCACTACTGGTATAGGGCGCGACCGGGACACCGACGCGCGCCCCTCGTTCACGAGCAACCCATACTTTTACACGGAGCGGCCACCTTAAAGTCTTTCCCGTAAATTACCACCACCACCAACCCAGCCATGATTGCCAAGGCGACGCCCGCACTGAACACGGTGCGCGGCTTTCAAAACACCCCCGTCACCTCCGGCGATGAGGATTCCGACTACGGCGTTTGCGCTACCCCGCCTCTCTCCGCGAAGCGCTCCGGCCGCGCTGCCCTCATCGACGATGTTGTCAGCGCCAACTGTAGCCCCAACATGCGCGGGGCATCCTCCCCTGCTGTCTCGGGCATCGCCAAGCTGCGCTTGCAGATGGAGCCTCTCAGCCTCGACAACTCTTCCCGAACGAGCACCTTGACCCTCAACGGCAGCAACGGCCATGGCGGCCTTTCCAAGGGGCTGGGAATCAGCAGTGCTGTCATGAGTCGCTGCGGAAGCCAGGACGGCAGTCAGAGTGAGGCTGGCAGCGAGCGTTCTGAGACCGGGTCTACGAGCTATGAGGTCAACCTGGAGCATGACTACGTCGACGAGAGCGTACGAGAGCGAAACGGCCACATTGTGCCCATCGAGGGCAGCAAGGATGTTCAGCGTAAGATGACGGCCGACGACTTTGATCCCCTTCGATGCCTAGGAAAGGGAACCTACGGTACCGTGCTTCTTGTGAAGCAGCGCAACACCGGCCGGCTTTACGCTCAGAAGCAGTTCAAGAAGGCTTCCCTTACTGTGCACAAGAAGCTCATCGAACAGACTAAGACGGAGCGTCAGATCCTTGAATCGGTTAACCGACACCCCTTTGTTGTCAAGCTCTACTACGCCTTCCAGGACCATGAGAAGCTGTATCTGATTCTCGAGTACGGCCAGGGTGGAGAGCTGTTCACTCACCTGAGCACCGAAAAGATGTTTGCCGAGCCCGTTGCTGCCTTTTACATGGCGGAGATGCTTCTCGCCATCTCGCACCTGCATAGCACCCTAGGTGTCGTGTACCGTGATTTGAAGCCCGAAAACTGCTTGCTGGACGCTGAGGGCCACCTGTTGCTCACTGATTTCGGCCTTTCCAAAGTCGCGGTCGATACCTCAGAGGACCACTGCAACTCGATGCTTGGAACTGTCGAGTACATGGCCCCCGAGGTCATCCAGGGACAGAAGTACGGAAAGGCGGTCGACTGGTGGTCTTTCGGCGCGCTGGGCTACGACTTGATGACTGGCAACCCGCCCTTCCGCGGCGGCAACCATGCCAAGATTCAGCAGAACATTGTCAAGCAGAAGCTCGTCATGCCGTACTTCCTGAGCCCCGACGCCAAGGATCTCCTGACGCGCTTGCTCAAGAAGGATCCCAAGAAGCGTCTGGGAGCCAACATGCCCAAGGACCTGCAAATCATGAAGGGCCACCGCTTCTTCAGAAAGATTGACTGGAAGAAGCTCGAGGCCAGAGAGGTCGAGCCGCCCATCCAGCCCATGATCACCGACCCCGAGCTCGCCGAGAACTTTGCGCCCGAGTTCACCGATTTGTCCCTGAGCCCCGTCATCACGGCCAAGGACCCATGGAGCGCCATGTCGGCCAAGGAGGATGACCCCTTTGGCGGCTTCAGCTTTGTTGCGTCGAGCAGCATGTTGGAGAGCCACGCGTTTCGATTCACCACTGAAGTCTAGATTGTATTGTTCGTACACATCATCAGCAGTGATAGACGAAAGAGTATAGAGAGATTTGGGAGTGCTAGGCGAATGGCATTGGAAAAAGTGTGGAAGCCTTATTGTGAATTGGCACGGCCACTGGACGCGCGCAGTACGGAGTTATTGAAGAGAAGCAAAGTCCGTTTATCCTTGGGCACTGAAAGTGTCTAGACCTTCACTGCCTCGTTCGATCTATGAGCAACGGAACAGTGAAGCATCGAGATTTGTTCTGTTGTTGGTTTTTTGTTCTGGCGCACATTGCTAGTCCGTAGTTATAGTTTCCCCCTTATTCGGTAGTCATTGGGCGAAGCATCGTCACGATAATACATACGAGTTTTTTCTTGGTTGACTTTTTTGTCGTGCCCCTGCTTCTCTCCTCCCCTGCTTCAAATACTCTCGGCGACAGGCGCATATCGCGCCAAGCTTCAGTTTGCTTTGCAATCCAGTGGCTGGGAATTGGTCCCGGCACTTTTCTTGGACTCCGTAGTCAACCGCGCGCGCGCGCGAGCGCTTGCTTGGCAAATTCACGGATCTCAAGAGAAGGGGGGGGGGGGAAGGTGTGTATTCTCCTTCAAGCCTGGTCTGGGTCCCAGAGCCTTGGGACCTTGGCGGTAATCTGAACGTTCGGGAAACCGAAAAAAGCCATGACTAGCTGCCAAGATTTCCAAGACCAAGACGCCGGGGGGATTTCGTAAACGGTGAAGACAAGGAATGTCAGCCGGGATATTGACTAAAAGGTAGAAGAAAGTCTGTTCATCCTTTCCCTACGGGACACAAAAACACCAAGAAAAGACACCGAGAAAGGTAAAAAAGATGGGATTACGCCAGGCTCGCTGGTGATGTCCTCTATCTTGCTTTCAAGCTAGAAGCTAGTCTGTGGCAGAGGCCGATCGTGGTATGTTGTAAATCAGTGATATGGGGTATAAGCTTGTAGCGTTCACTGCATCCCGATTCCGAAGTCATCATATGTTAGGGTCCCGTTACCTTGCTTACCTTGCCCCGGGCGGGTTTTCCCTGAAGGTCGAGAGGTTTCGGTATACGGCAGATTTTCATCCTCCAGGATCGATTTGCGCAGATGATAAGTAACAAACAACGAAAACCCGAATGCTCCGGCGTCCAAAATGCTGCTCCGCGTGGAGGGAGGGGTGCATATGGTGATTCCCAGGACATCGGATTGCTGGCCTTGAGGATCTGGAGCATGTTGTCGATGCATTTTGGGGCATTTTTCTGACTACCGGGCTGCATAATGAAGGATCTCGTTACTTTGGCATCAAATAAGTGTGCGAATTGTTTCATGAGCCAGGGGGCCGAGGGCCATGTTCTGAGCGATGCTGATGATTTCAATATCGGATGGTTGCAATGTCGTCGATGCTGGAAGTCTCTTTTTGCAATGTTTTTGCCAATCGTCCCTTTCTTGCTTGTCGCGCGACGACTGAGGAAAGGTCAATAGAGTATAGCGCAAACCAGGTCCATGGTTACACTTGTTGGCAATCCGTTTGAACCTGGCGGACAAAAAATATTACCAAGGCAGGGCAGTATTGACCACGTTGGGTTTGTGGAAGAACAGGGCGAGACTAGATAGAACTTGGCGTCATTTGCGCAAAACTCGTACCCGCTTCACTCCTGACTGACAGCAGTCAACGGGAAATGTTTTGCGCCCAACAAAGCTTGGACCCAGCTTGCAGTAACCTGGGGTCCTGGGCAGAGTGGCCGCTGCTGGTGAATCTAGCTGGAATCTGGCGGTGACAAGCATTCGTGATCGAGCTTTGAAAGCTACGCGGTTGAAAGGGTATGAAAATAGTAAATGAGCGGTCGAAAGAGCCGGCGCATTTAGCGGAACTATCGGACCCCGGGGCGCCATATCGAACAGAGTCTAAATCCGAATACAGACTGAGGTAACCGGGGGATTGGGACCCGTGATGTTACATTGTCCTGAGAAGTTTTGACCCAACGCAGAAATAAGGTAGTCGGCTAGCCTGCTCGTGGGCCATTGGAGTCGAAATTGCTTTTGACGTTTGCTCAGCCTCCACAAGCTCTGCCCTAAACACTAGGCTAGACAGCATGTCGTGGGATTATGAGTAAATCGTGGCCGTGGTGGTTGCGGAGGTGGAGGTCTCCGGAACAACTCATATACGGCGCGGGATGATAGTTGCACCATCGCCTAAGCTCAGCGTTGCAGTGGACCTTTCCCCGACTCGCGGGCGGCCCATTTAGTGCAATTGCTGTGTAAGACTGTTGGTCAACCTGGGAAACGGGAGCAAAAACCTCCCATCGGCAAGGTGAAGCCCCGCACTCGGCCCCACACCGGTAACGGCTGCCGTATTGGGTCATCGAGATCGTCGCGAGGAGCCCATAGTATTCGATGTGTTCACTGTGAGCTCAGGTTGGTATGATACGGAGTAGTAAAATAGAGATCATCGGGGATTTGAGTTTCGCTGGCAGCGTCGCGACAGGCTGGGGTTGATTTTACAGCATGGCGAAGCTGGCCGCCGTTGCTCTTGGAAAAAACCTTGCAAGTCGTAACGAGTTGCCTTCATGGTTTCGCGGTCTTGTCGCATCATCATCTGACACTATCCAGTACTGGGCGCATCAACCATGCCGTTATTGTATCGAACGCTATTCGAGCTCCAGCGACCAGGAAGCTCCTGGACCATTCTTTTTTTGCGAAGGTCTACGTCCAGTTGATATTGGGAGTACACTGGCAGTGTTTTGCGAGGGTGTAAACGCAGTTGATGGGTGTAAGTCCGACTCTGTGATGCTTAGATTCCCGCCAAGTCAAGCCTGTGGGCCCCCTCACTGGCTATTGCAGATCGAGCCCGTGAATATACTAGATGTGACGAGTGCTGTCAAGCAGAAGCCATTGGGATGCTTTTGGCTTGGCGATGTGGTTGAAGCGTGGGGTAGATCCCTGAGCCACACCAAGTGACGCAACTTTGAAGCTGCTTTCGGTTTCTACACTGGCAACGCCCATGTACGATTCGATGATTTCTTGAATTTGTGCACCTTGGTGTTTTGTGTGCTGTCTGTGACCTGCTGAGAAATACTCGGCCATCACTGGCCGTAGACGGAATTCAGGGTTGCAGCTTTGACACAAACAGGCCTGCAAGTCAGCCGGTATCCGTATCTCAACTTGTCCGTGTTGCAGATGTTGAAGGGCTGCGCCGCATCCGAATGACACGACTTCCAACCGTCCAAAGTAGACAACAGTCATCTTGGGAATGCAGATTTCGGATTGAAAGGCATCGTTACCTAAGCCAAGGAACAGCAGGAACCGGCAATTGCCTGCTCAACGTCGGACGAAAAGACGGAACTGTATTGCTGTGAGCTCATACCTTGCAGTAGCAAAGTTTCATCTTCTGGACATGGCGTCAAGAGCGGGCGGATCGCAAGGCTCAAGATCAAATCCTTCCGAGTTTGGCAAGGAGCTTGGTAGCTTCAGCTATCCTAGTAGCGTTTAGCATGGTCTAGACTGATGATATCGACCACTGTCGGCGATCTGCTATCCTTCCGGCCCGTCTCTCAGCACTCTGTCCGCTTTCTTCAATGGGCAAGAATGGAACAAAACATGGAAGCATTGCGCGTCCTGCGTCGGTGCTGATCTTTCTTGTGCCACTGGTGCCGTCTTAGTGACAAGATTTGGCAAATCGGGACGGGTGTGCGGATGCTTAGTTGGACGGTTTGATCGCCTTTGCTTCCCTAAATCTGGTGTGCAGGCTTCACCAGTCCGTGAGCCTTCCTTCCACCCACATGGTTCAGTAGAGACCGACTTACACGTGTTTGGACATCGGAAGGGTCGCAATCCTCGGCCAGCGGAAGATGGGCCTTGACCGACGATAGGATCTCGAAGCATTCCAAGAGTGAGGCCTCGCGGGAACGAAAATAGGATTGTCCATCCTTTCGGTGACAGTGAAGGCATCGGGCTGAGACGCAAGAGCAGGGCATGTTGGGAAATGCCGAAAGCTGCGGCTGCCGTCAGATAAGCCCCTTCCTTGGCAACAACGTACATCGTCAGCAAGCCTGCTGAAAATACTTGGCGAGGATGCTATAGGCGCATGTTGTGAGTCGTGAGAGTGATCAGCTATGATGCTGGGAGATTGTAGATGAGCACAGATCTCGAATCGCCGTACCTCAGTGGTGCCGACTGAGCACAGGTCTCGCTGCGTGTTCTAGGCACTTTCCCTTTCGATACACCGGATACTCTTAGCAGGTGGGCGTCATGAGAATGGAAGCAAAGTTCTGGATTGATCCTGCCGTGAGTGAAAGGTACTTGGAAGTGGAAGTCTGTGAACACACTACGTATCTACCTGGGTACCTGAAAACACATGAGATGCTGAGGTGCCTTATCTGCGTACAACTGTGAGGTACGTACACAACATTTCAGCCAACATGCAGGTGCATCTCGGGCTGTCTCTACGGTCTACCGAGTGCATCATGCGCTTTCCAACAGCTGTCACAGTATTGGACAAGGCGCATGGTGACGATGGATGCAACCCGAAGGCGCGGCTTGGTGCGCTTACCCTAGCGATCGGTGCTCCGTTCCACATCTTTTGTCTTTCCTCTGGTTCAATTCGCCCTCCATGGTCCAAGCCAAGAAAAACAACATGACATGCTTGCGTATGCTTTTCTCACGCTCCAATGTCCGATAGTTCTGCCCTCTATTGTGTAATACGGACAATCCCAAGAAACACTGTTTCTGACCAAGGCTTATGGCAGCAGACACCTCAATCACCCGCGCGGCATCTTTTTGCCTCCGGGAGGCTGAGCCCGCCAAGCACATCCATTGGTCTGTTCACCTTGACCTTTGCTCATTTTCCAACTTCCCAGCATGGTCGTTGCCTTTTCAGCAAACTACGCACGCGCATATGCAGGGTATCAAGAGCTATCAACGACAGGCGTTTCGTTTGCAGTTTCTCTTCGCCTGCCAGGGCTACAGGTACTCCCCTACCCTCTTCTCTCATCTTGTTAGAGTTCGTGCCGGACAACTGGCTGCCCACGGCCCCAAGAAAGACCAGCAGAAACACCCTGCCAACCCACTAGTCCCATCTGCGTAGAACTCTGGTGCTTCCCGCCAGGATGATCCCCTTCGACGGCCATGCTCTAGATGGCATCTGATTGTTCACACAAATTTGCGACTCCCTCACTGGGCGAGCAAGCGGAACTTTCTCCGGCCTACTCGTCACTAACTACCTTGTAGATGTCAACTATTCATGCCACTGTGTCACAGCAGGTTCGGTCAAGGACTCAATGGGAACCAGATGCTCTCTTCCAGCAGCCCCCGGACGGACAAGGACTTCCCCTTCGGTATTACAGGGGTTGGGCTAATCTCTTTGCCCAATCATATCCATTCCAATTGTGTCTGACACCCTAAAGAGAGTAGACCGCATCCAAGACACGCTGCAAGGAGTCAAATTTACGACCTGGGGAGCCTGTGCCTGATTAGTCCATCTTCCCATTTTTTAGGCTTTACTGGCCCGGGGAACGTGTTGAACCGACCGGGTCCGTCGACGTGGGCCCAACTCTCAGTTTCCCCCCCATGGCTGGCCATTTGTCTCTACGACACGAAGCTACCAAGCTACTAGACGTACTATCAAGCCGACAGCAGCTCCTCATCTGCGTGGCTGTGTTAGCCAAGATGTGCCGCCAGACACATGCTGATCTCTAGCCTTCTCTAGAGCGCCTTCAACAAAAATCACCGATAATACCTGGTAGCAGAGTGTTCCGATACAGCCTGCAGCCGGCCAGCTTATGCGTCGGTTACAAGTGCCCCAGGGGTCATCCCCTGCGTGGCTGGACCTGTCAGAGAAAGTCGACTCTCACTGCCCGCACTCCCCCAAGCCGAGAGCAAGCAATGAGTGGGTGGGCGTGAAGGATGGAAAGGCATGGGCCAGGGCCTGACTCTCGGAACAGACTCGAGAAGTAAAAACGGGATGACTTTGTGCTAGTGTATGAAGATGTCGCCAAGATCTCATAGAAAACGACGTGGGGAAAGAAGAGCAAATGCCAATAAACGCAAATCATAGCAAAACGGTTGGCAAAGGGAGCAAAGCCACGGTGAAAGCTCCGGCCCCTCTCTGTTCGCCGCTTTGAACCTGGCATCCGCACTGCACATCTCCGCCATCGACTACCACGGAGCTGGACTGCCGTCGCGCGTCCGTCACATCTTCATAAGAACCCCCGGAGCTCCCACCCTTCTACACTCGATCCAAACTCCAACTGCCGTGTCACTCCAACATTCAGTCCGGAGCCTCCCTGCATATCACAACACACACCAAATATGTGCGTCACATCCTGGCCCCCACTCCATCCCGCTGTCTTTGATTTAAGGTCCTCTGAGGCCTCCATGATAGCTTTCATATAGATGTGAACTAACACAACCAATAGTAACAACCACGATATACACGCCTTACTAGCGAACACGATGAAGGCCTTCACAACTTCCTCTCTTGCTGCCGCGCTCTGTATGTCTTGAGCCATCCCTCCCAGACCACCGATACTAACACTTTCGACAGATGCGGCGACAGCCTCCGCCGACGCTATTCAGGCTTGCCCGAATACTGATGTCTGCTTCCGCGTTGCTGTCCCGGCGGCTTCGTCCAGCTCCGGCAGCGGCAACATGTACTTCCAAATGTCTGCTCCGACCAGCTATCAGTGGATTTCCCTTGGCACGGGTTCGTCCATGTCCAACGCCAATATGTTCTTGATGTACGCCGACGGAAACGGCAACGTTACTATCAGCCCTCGCACTGCGCGCGGCCACAACATGCCTACCCTCTCGTCAAGCACCACCCTCGAGCTTCTCAGCGGCTCCGGTATCGTGAACGGTAACATGGTCGCCAACGTCCGCTGCACCAACTGCGCGTCCTGGAGCAGTGGTTCTATGTCCCTGAACTCGGCTTCCAGCTCCTGGGTCGCTGCCTGGAAGTCGGGCAGCGCCCTCAACTCTGCCAGCACCAGTCAGAGCATCCAGCAGCACGACGAGCACACCAACTTCAACCTCGACCTGACCCAGGCGACAGTCCAGACCGACAGCAACCCCTTCACGACTACCTCGGGAAACAGTGGCAATGGAAGCGGCAGCGGAAGCGGCAGCGGCAGCGGCAGTGGGAGCGGGAATGGCGGCTCCACCAGCGGCGGCGGTGGTGTTGTATTTAATGGAGGCGGTGGTGTCTCGTCCAAGGTCCTCCTCGCCCACGGGATCATAATGACGATCGTATTCGTTGCCCTTTACCCCATCGGAGCCATCCTCATGCCCTTGGTAGGCAAGTGGATGGCTCACGCTGCTTGGCAGTCGGTTGCGTTCTTGCTCATGTGGGCCGGCTTCGGCACTGGCTACGCTTATGCTCGCGACAACGGTTATGTGAGTTGCTTTTTTCATATTTTTCGTGAACCGGGAGACTGTACTCCCTCGGGTCGTTTCCAAGACCATCCACAACCCAGACATCCAGGATCGCAGTGCTGATACCGCGTAGCTCTTTGCGCAAACCCATACCCTCCTGGGTACCGTAGTTGTTGCCCTCTTGGCCGTGCAGCCGTTCCTCGGATACGCCCACCACGCCTACTACAAGAAGTTCCAGACCCGCGGTGTTATCAGCCACGTCCACATCTGGTTCGGCAGAATTGTGATGATTCTCGGCATCATCAACGGTGGTCTCGGTCTCGAGCTCGCTAGCTCATCTCGGGCCTATGTCATTGCGTACTCCGTGGTTGCTGCTATTCTCGGCGTTGCGTGGATTGGATCCGCCGTTTGGGGCGAGATGCGCAAGTCCAAGCGCAACACCGTCAAGCGCGAGCAGAGCCACGAGTCTCCGGATTCCCAGCAACGCATCCCCTACCGCCAAAAGAAATAAGCGCTCGGCCTAGCTCGGTTCCGGGGTTTGTTATGGACGACGGCAAGAATACAGAGGAAAAGACCACATGGGATACAGAGATTAGCCTCTAATTTGTTTTGTGTAATCGTTATACCACAGGTGGCAGTGTGCCGACCTTTCCACGTCTACAAAAGATCTGGGCCGTAGTATGAAGACACGGCAACTCGGGTAGAGCACGGAGTTTGTGGCGTTGTTGGTGATGGGTTTCTTGAATGATAGCTTATGCAATAATGGTCACTTGATCTAAGCCATTGGTGTTCGCGTGTGTGACGGATAGTCTTGCAGGCTTTGAACACGAGCCCTCGACTCATTGTACGCATCGTTGTGTCCTTCCCTTCTAATTTAACACGGGTAGTATAGCAGGGTGAGCAACGACGAGGAAATTATAAATATGTCGGAAAGTAAGAGAGAGAAAGACATCTTTCCATCAACACACTTCTGCAATATCTTGTCGCTTGTCTCTAGAACAAAAGCAACTAGATCAATCGAGACAGATATTTAGCAAGGTAAATGAGTGACTGGCGACCTGGCTCGACTTCGAGCTCAGCGTACAACAGCAAAAACACTCTTGATAGTGACGAAAATGACGGAGTATGAGAGACATGGATGTATGAGGTCATGCACCAAAAAGTCGATTGGTCGCAACTGTGAGAGAGCTAGCCCGGATCGCCAGAGGAGCTTAGGCCAAGCTTGGTCCGAACAAAGTGTGGCAGTTTGAACTCTCTTGGTGCGTACTGGTAGGTGTGCCCGGCGTTAAGTGCCAGCCTATGATGTCGGCGGTGATGGTTTGGTGGAGGGGGGAAGTTGACGAAACCGTTCCTTCTTGGCTGTCAATTACTCCCAATGACCACATCTCGCCCAGCTAGCAGTCACCTTCCAGACGAGATCTGTACCAGAAAGAAGATGGGCAGCGTACGGTAAAGTGTCATCGGTCGTTTCCTCACGTGATATCAGTCCACCCGCCTCCGCTTGTTGTTTCCCCGACCCGCTGCAGCAATGCGTGAGAGGTGGAAGGACGTGGGAAAGTGGGGAAAGGCAGCAAAAGACAGGCAGACAAGTTCTACGCCTGAGACCTGAGGCATCCAAATCACAGCGGTCGGCTGGGAATCATTGCGTCCAACCAGAACTGAACCGGCTCACTCCAGCTTTTTACTGTCCCATCCCGTACAAAACCCTCAACCACCCGTCGTCCGCCTCCCTCCCCCCATCCCCCCCGGTGTCCCCAATTGAGCCAGCCACCACCCACATATCAAGATGCTCGTCCAATTGTCCAGAGCCACTGTACGTCTCTCCTCTCTCTTCCCGTTGTCGTGATGATGATGTTGTTGCTGTTGTCTTGTCGCTGTTGGCGTCGGCCTCCGTTCGGACGCGCGGACCGTCGGTCGGAAATCAAGGAAAAAAACTGACGACTTTTTGCCCAAACAGCGCGCCGCTTCGGCTGTCTCTCGGCTGTCGAGGCCCAGCGCCGTCCAGATGAGGGGATTCATCGCTCCCACCGTCTCCCGCAGAGGTTCGTCAATATTTCTCCCGTCTTCGATTTCAATTGCCCCCTAGGAGGAAGAGCGAGGTTGCGTTCAATGCGAAAGCGTTGGCCATTTCGGGTTGCCGGTGCGGCTAAAGGGAGGCCAAGCTCCGAAGCTGGGGAGTGCGCCTGGCTGTCGGATAACGATACCGGTCACGCAAACCACTTGAACATACTCGTCGTCCATTACATTCGCATCGACCATCCTACGCCGATTAATGGTCTTCTATCTCTCCGATTCGCCCGTCGCTCGCTCGTCCTTCCTCTTCTTCCCATGCCGTCGCTGTCGTCATCGCACAAAAACTCTTGCTCCGATCCCGTTTCACTAACCTGCAATCCCCGATACAGCCGACTTCGTCCAGGAGCTCTACCTCAAGGAGCTCAAGGCCTACAAGCCCACCCCCATCAAGGAGTCCGACTCCCAGGGCCAGGTCCAGACCTTCTCCATCCCCGCCACCCCCAAGTCCCCCGAGGAGGCCGACCTCGCCGCCAGCCTGAAGGAGTACGAGAGCATGGCCGTCGAGGTCGAGGGCCAGGACGCCACTGCTGCCGCCAACGGCGAGCCCGTCAAGCACGACTGGCTCATGATTGAGGAGGACGAGGAGGAGCCTCACCACTAGAGCGCTTCGGCGACGTGCAAAACCGTTACTGGAAAAGAAAACAAAAAAGTTTCAAAACGAACCACACCGTCCCGGATTCCCCCGCCGAAAAGATAAAAATCGTCATCAATCCTCAAGTGATGGGAGGGAAAAGTGCTTTTCCAACCTTGGCTTCTGGGTTTGTAACCTTTGCCGCTTGCTCCGAACCGACCAAAAGGAGTGGGAAACGTGTTTTTGTGATTGAGAGGAAAGGAGAGAAGGAGAAAGAGAGAGAGGAACCCTAGAAACGAGGGGAAAGGTGTGCTGGGAGGTGGTAATCCCGTGTATATTGTCCAACTAAACCTCGCTGGCTAGGAATGCTATTCGCATGCGCTTCAACGTCCTCGGTCCCTCTTGTGTGTATATGGGTCATACCAATCATATGTGTGATTTTACCTGGACGTCCTCGACCAACAACCACCATATTCCGGCAGCTCCCATGCCAAATGGATTCAAATGACTCTCTTGCTTTCCAAAACGGACCGCATACCTGACTCTGACTGAGTCTTGAGTGAAGACATTGTGGGGAACCCGGAATCTCCCGAACAGAGCCAAAACCACCACCACCACCACCACCACCACCACACAGAACCGTCGTCAGGCGGAGAGCCCTTTATCAAAAGACCTCTGATACCCGGGGAATAGTAATTTCTCAACACACAACTCGCACACAACTCGACGGAACCCCCGCCAATTGCTTCCACCAAGATTCCCTGGACGAAAGGAAAAGAGCCATCTACCTTGTGCTACAGGGTCTTGTTTTCAATGCACACTGAGGTGGGTTCGCGTAGTGTTCCTGGGACAACAAAACGATGAATGATCCACAGCGATTATGCTGGCTACCATTTCCAGAGGTGGAGAGGGTGACGGGATGATTCACTGTCTGCCACCTAACCTTGCTTGCCTTTCTCGCCTACTTTGCCTTCTTTCCTTCACCTTCGTGAGTCTTCTTGATGGCTATCCTTATCCTTTGTCACTACTCTCCCTCTCTTGATTGTCTTTACCTACCAAATTCCACATTCTTCGAGGGAAATACATACTGTCAGTATGGTAGCTACAGACTTGGCATCTTACACCTTGGAGAATGCATCCCTCCGTTGTCTACGTATATAAAGCTACAAGGTTGACAGTTGGTAGCACAACCTTCCGGGCACACGACCAGCCCATCTGTGGATTCGAGTACCATACAGAAACTCCTTTTCCTCTACTCCCACACCTGCAGGCCGCATCGGCAGCGAGTCACATCGAGGAGGCGGAAGCTTCTGCGGCATCAGCATGACTGTTCTATTCGCTGAAAAGGTATAGCAGAGACACAAGAACAAAGGTAGTGGTGATAGAAAGAGTGACCCTTGTGTGTTAATCAGGGACGTTGTTATATGATCTATTGGTAGTTTTGGGCGTCACTACAACACAATCACGTTGGAAGGATACGACAAGAGAACCTAGCGTCCTTTTTGGTTTTTTGTCAAATGTAGCTGAAGCTAATTAAGCAGTATTACAGACGGTTTTGTGTAGAGCTGATCGCTTTCCTCTCTCACTTTCTTTCCGTTGACGGCCCCTCCTTTCTTCATCGGTACCATCCACCACTCGATATACCGCATGGCGCTTGATGACCGATACAAGGGTTTGTTTGTTGGATATCTAGGCATCCTTCGAACCCCCCCCCCCCCTTGATTCAGTCTCCAAGCCCATGGACCATAAGATTGCCCCAAACGCTGAACGTCTGTCGCAAAATTGCAGTATATCCTATAGGCAAGACTGGTTTTCCCTCCTTTCCTTTCGTACCACTCCATTCGTGAAAGACACATCCTCCCAAAATGCAGCGATGCCTGTGTATCAGCCTCATATCTGATGTACGGATGTTCCCTATGGCAGCGACTCGTGGGAATGTAGAACAACCACATCTTCCGATAAAGGCATCAAGGTCACCAGCATCAGCATCAGCGAGCGGTATGCAGAGCCTTTTCGTCAAGGCCTATCGTCGTTGTTGTAGTTATTGTTTGTATCGTGTAAGTAAAAGCTCTTCGATTAGCATGAAAAGCAGCAGTCTGAGGGGCCGATCAGGAATCCGAATGTTCGTCGCTTCAGCCCAAAAACGCCATGTACCGATTACACCCCCCGGGCCCAATGATCACATGCAAGGTTTGACCGCCCTTATGCACTGAAATCCATGAATGTTCGTTTTTTTTGACTTCGTAATGATGATGACCGTGTTTTGCTTCTGCAAGAGAGAAAAGGCTGTGTGTGATGGAACTTTTCTTTGTCCTCAAAATAGAACCCAAAAACAAATGACCCAGAAGTACCTTTGGAAAAAAAAAACCAGAATGCATGAAGTCATTAAACGTCAAAGTGACCACCACCAATCATCTGCTCTTCGTTGGTGGTCGTGCGCACAATGCCGCTCATGCGATTGCCTCTCTGGTTCATGTCCTCCAGGTCATCCCAGTCATCGTCCTGGTGGTGAGAATCACGCATCTCTTCGTCATCATAGCGGCCCTTATCTCTCATGTGATCGTCGAGAGCGCTCTCGTCCACAAACGTGAAGCCCTGGAAGTTGGCCTGCACAGAGGGCGAAAGGGGCGTCGATGTAGCGAATCCCTTGGACAAAGCAGCGGCCCGTTCATTAAGTGAGCCATTGTTATCAAGCGCGTTGGTGAACTCGGGGTCGAAGTACGACACGTCTGTAGCAGAGGTCAACTTGGGCTTGAAGGGAGGTGTGATGAGCTTCTTTGCCAGAATGTCCCAGTCAATGTCGGCAAAGAATGGGTGGCGCTTCAACTCCTCCGCATCGTCCGTCGCACCAAGTCTGTGCTTGGGGT